CGTTCCCGGACATAGGGTTTCTAGGGAGTATCTCTTCTACGGTGGGGAAATTGTCACCCTCCTCAACAGCAATATCCTCGCTACCGGAAGGAGGGGCCATAGACAACGGAGTGCCATCAGAAACGTCATCATGTGCACGGTGGGTTCGGGGCATCTTGGTAATAGAGGGTGTGCTGGTAAACCTAAAATGAGGAACGATGACTGAACGGAAAGACGAGAAACAGAGCTAAAGAACTGAGAAAGATAATAAAAGGGGGCAATGTACACACAAGGAAGGAAATGGCTAAAAATTTAAAAAACGAAACCCTTACCTATTTATAGGGTTGGATGGCGCGAGAATCGAAGTAGAAGACTACCAATGACTCTAAAACCAAAGCGACAAGCAATCTGATGCTGTCTCGGGAATGTGCGTAATGACGACGTGCGTGGGAGTGACATCACATTCTGATAACTACATCAATCAGGGTTCCGTAGGACGTGTCGCTCTCTCGACCTTGGCCAAACCGGCGTAATTCAATAGCCAAATTCATCAACAGAAACGGATGACGTCCGCTTATTAAGGACGTGCAGTGCCACGACCTCAACAAGCGGAGGGACTAACTGCATAGGTCTAAATTTGGCAACCACGACCTCAACAAGCGGAGGGACTAACTGCATAGGTCTAAATTTGGCAACCACGACAACGGATAAGCAAAACATTGGACGGGGCCACCACAACACAACAACTGACGATTGTTGCAACAAAGGACGACGACCAGAAGCAGGCAGCTGAAATAAGATAGTAACGGTAGTTTAAGCTTAGAAAGAGACAGGAAGAATATGCCTTTTGGATATTCTTTATGTTGTACTTTTTAGGGTTTTTTGGGAAATCTCCCCTATAAATAAGAGGGATAGTGAGCAAGAAAGGGATCTGCCTTTTTCAAAGAACAAGAACATATTGTAAGAGAAGAGAGGGAATATACGAAAGAATTGTCTTATTCACTTTATCCAAGCACATGTTGTTTAATCTTCATCCATAAATCTTTAGATTCCACATTCATATAAGCTACATACCCTTTTTGTGTCGACAAAAGGAAGAGTCACCCAATCACATAATCATTGGGTGACAGTTCCTTTTCATTATAACCATTGTCGTTTCTTGCCTTCATTGTACATTTATGATATTATATACACTGTCAATCATAGCATATTAAGTTCACTGATTAGCCTTACTAAACTCTTCTCGTTGTATTAGACTTTCGTTCTATTTGATCTAGGATTTATTAAGCTCAACTAAGATTCACCCCATTAATTTATTATCGATTGGTTTAGCAATTATTTGCTCAAATATGTATAATGTACATTTCCATATACTTTAATTTCTTACAAAAATTAATTACGAGATATTTGTATTATCTATTCTGAAATAAGGAAAAAGGATTAATAGAATATAAGGATAAGGATCATACTACATACATAATATGGATTTGCTCTCCTCTTGGATAGATGGACATATAATATCAATTTGAAATTCTTTTGGCAACGGCTCCATCAAAATTACTTTTACCAAACAGTAAAGAAAATGAAATGAAAATATATCTTAAGTTCTTGAATGATGTTTCGTATTTTTTTTTTTTTTGCGAAATAATGTTAGAAAAGATGCATATTATAAAGTACATCACATAGTTTAAGAACCGATGACTCACTCATTTAATAACTTTGACGTTGAGCTTTCCGAATAAGGACTATATATATATATATATATATATATATATATATATATATATATATATGACGATTATTATTGATATTAATATTAGCCAATCGAGATATATATATTAATTTATTGGAAATAGGAGAACAAGGACGCAAAAGGAAATATCAGCCAAACAAGATACGTTATTTTCAGCAACAAATGCACAAAATCATCAACAAGAAAAGCGAAGGTTAAGTGCGTTGTTTGGGTCAATAAGGCAGCATATCAAAGTTATATATCTTTTCACTATACAATGGAAAAGTATAGGTGAGAATATCTAGTACTAGTACTAGTAGGACCTTAGATGGCAAAATGTGAAAAGAACTCAAGGGAAAGAGAAGCAAACAAACGTTTAAGTTATATGCAAAGGCATCTGCAGAATATTTATAAAACTGGATCATTTACGGCTTGTTTGGATTGTTGTTAAATGTCGTTTCATAATGTATTCGTATTGTATTGTGCTGCATTGTATTGTATTGTTTGATAAATACAATGTTTGACTAGATTGTATCGTTTACCGTCGTTTCATGATGTCACACACCAACAATACGAAGAATAAATTAAACTTGCAACATTACTAAGAAAAAATAGGATACAGAGTAGAATTATTATATAAAAAAGTAGGATAAATGATAAAATATAATTATTTAATAGTGATAAGGAAGGACCAGATGAGAGAAAATAGCAAGGAAATGATGTCACTACACCAAATCCATCATTCAATAAAGTGACACATTTCGTCGTTACGTAACGATGGATTTAACGATACGATATAATAAAATTTAAGTGACAATCAAAACAAACATTTTATAATTAAAGTAACAATACGATACAATACAATAGATAACATATTGATAGTCAAGGATTTGGTGAACTTGGGAAAACATATTAAATCTGCAATAACATATTATCGTATTGCATAATAAGTAAATCTGCAATAACATATTAAATTTCACTTATCATGTAATGATTATATATACTCTTAGTGTATAGAACTTAAATCCTATAAATAAGCAACATAATTTCTATGAAAAAATGAAGGACAATGTTCAAATATTTTCATCTAAGCTTAACTTGACCATTTTGGAATATAAAATGTTTTATAAGAAAAATAATTGAGAAACAAATCAACAATAATACGTTTGAATTAATATTTGCTGTTTTCAGAAAATTTCTGTTCCCTCACCTCAATACTGCTGTTAAATGCCTAAAAAGTTTTCTTCTTTCTAACTTGGTAACAATGAAATAAGTCAAGGAAAAAAAAAACAATTATAGACACGGACATTGACGTCCACATTTCCAATTTTCCTATACATTGCAAAATTCCTATTGGTAGTTAATATTATATTACCTCAATAATATAATATACATCTCATGTCTCTTCATTTCATCATTTCATGCATGCAATATATACTTCCAACGTTGGCGTTCACTTTGTTTGGACAACTTTGCAAAAAACTTTCTGAAAAAATAAAAAAGTTTGTGCAAAAGATAATGCGTTCGAATAAATCATGTTTTGTGAATGAGAGAATAGTTTCTAGATCCATATTTGTCAATCAGTTCACATTTTCATAGCAAAAACAAAGGTAAATGTATGATGAAGACAAATGTTGCAGTCACAAGCAGCAACTTCACCTTGAGATGTACCTTATAAGTTTGGGTCCGGGGTTTTAACGTACCATTTTATGTTATTAGGTTCTATAGTAAGAATTTGTATCTATTCAATAGATATTTCAAGATAAATATAGAGTTTGCACTAAAGCTGTTGGGTATGATCGAACCCGTCATCGAAGCTTTAGCTCCGCCCCTGGTTCCGCATCAACCAACTTAATATTGTCGAACTTAATTAACTGTAAAATATTTAGTTTTTTTTACATTATTTCCTTATTAATTCGTTTCAAAAGAAGCAACATTCCTTTAAATTTGAGAATAATTTAACTTACACTCTCAACATTCTATGAGCTGACTACAAATAAAAAAGGGCATGCCCGGTGCATGAAACAACTCGTGTTCACGTAGGATCTGGGGAAGGATCGCATATGTAGGTAGTCTATCCCGATGCAAGCATCAATGACTAATTTCACGGGATATTTGAGAATTGACTATGCGCCAGCTTTTAAGCCATTTTTAGGTAACTGGAGTGTTTGGCAAAATAAAAAACAGCTTAAAAAAAGTTAAAAATGGCTTAAAAAAAGCTAAAAGCCACAAGTTAGGATATCCTAACTTCTCCGTTTTTGGCTTAAAAGCCATCTTATTTTGACCAACGAAATTACTTACTTGTGCCTTATAACTTTTTCTAATCCCAAAACTACCCTCATCAAATAAATCCTAAAACATTCAACTACTCACATTCTGTTCATTTTCTTTCCTCTTCTTCTCCTTTATCTTCTATTCTCACCCACACGTTCACCTTTCCTATGTGATATTCGTGCTTTTCTACACTTCTATTTTCCTATTATAAATGCTCCTTTTTTTTTTTTTTTTTAACATAACACTAAAATACAAATACCCTTTTCCTCAACATTTGGAGGAGGAATCTGCTTCTGTAATTTTTACATAAAGTTTCAATGTCCATATCGTAATGGGCAGTAGTCTATTTTCATTTTTCAAATATATGATCATGTCCTTTGATTTCGTCTTTGTTTGGTAAGTAAGAGGAAGATGTAGGTTTTTGATTTGTTTTTATGCGATATTTTTGTCTTTTTAACAGAAAAAAGTGCTTACCAACACTTATTTATCAAACACTTCAATAACTTTTTTTAAGTTTCAGCACTTTTATCGAAACAAGTAACTGCTTACTTATAAAACAAGCTCCAGCACTTAAAAGTTACTTTTAAGCACTTGTGCTTAAAAGTCATTTTTTTTAAGCCAATCCAAACGGGCTCTATATATATTATGACGTGTTTAAGATAAAATTTCTAATTTTTTAATATATCTTTCTTATATTTAAATTTGATATAAACATATCGTGCAACTTGTAAGTATGTATATTTTCCGTAAATCGTCTCCTAAGTAACAATCTGCTTATCCTATTTTTGGAAGAAAAAAAGGGAAAAATCCCACCATCCTACTCTGTCCGTTAATAGTACGACAAGCCACTTCTCTTAAAACAGAACAACTTTCTATTAACGTCAAAGTCAGACGTCGTTAACTGCTAAACCAATGGACATTCGACAGCACCTAACGGCGAACGTCTCACGCCATTTAAACGCTTTTATTAATTGCCCCCCCATCCACTTTCTTCTCAACCGGTTAAGAAACAGAACTCCACGGGCTGTAGCCGGTTTTCAAAACACTAGTTAAAATTAAACCATGGTTAAAAAGATGAATGGCTTTCTTCATCAGTTCATGAATAAGCTCTTTTGTCTCCTCACACTATCAATTCACCCCCAAAAGTCATTGAAGATATATAAATAACAGTTGTTGATATATATAGAGAGAGAGGGGACGAATTTGTGTTTGGAGAATGAGAGATCTGTGTTGAGAAGTATGTGTACAGAAATGGCTGCTTCTGATAGTGGCCGCAACGCTCCCGGCGGCGCTGGAAAGGGTAATTTTAGTGGATTTTTTCTGTAATTAATGGTAATTTGTTCCATATTTGATTTTTCGTTTGTTTTTGTGTTTAAAGTTGATGCGGAGAGAGCGTTGTACACGGAGCTATGGCGTGCATGTGCAGGTCCGCTTGTGACAGTGCCACGCGAAGGCGAGCTAGTGTTCTATTTCCCACAAGGTCACATTGAACAGGTTTGCGTCTATACACGTCCTTTTTAAAACCGTTTATTAGCTTAATTAATTTCTTAAACCATAATTGTATCAATGAATTAACTAGGCTTCGTGTCCATTTTGCTCCATTCCTACTCGATTAGATGAGGTGGTTAGGCAATTCTGCATAGTATCAGTTCAGAAGATCCACCACTTATTATCTAAACGAATTCCACATGCTTGACTCAAGAAGAAGTATTAGGATTTAGGCTTGTATGTCAAAGGGTGTATTGAAGATATTAATTTCTCTCTTTGCCGTCCCATTTTATGTGGCATACTTTACGTTTTAGTTTGTCCCAAAAAGAATATCATCTTTCTATGTTTAGAAACATTTAACTTTAAACTTCATGTTTTACCTTAATGAAATGATTTATGGCTACACAATTGTATTACCCCCAAGTAAATTGGGATTGAAGGAGTAACAAATCAATGTGTCACCTCTTTATCAACTTAAGTTTTTAGAAGGTGGTCACTCAATTCAACACCTAATCATGAATTCTTTGTATTGTAAGGCAAATTAGGGGTTCTCTAGGGAAAATTAGGAGCTTTAGTAGTAGTTGTAACTAATTCTTTGATGTTGGAGTGATTTGATGTGTTTGTTTGCTAGGTTGAAGCATCAACCAATCAAGTTTCAGACCTGCAGATGCCAGTGTATAATCTTCCTTCTAAGATCCTCTGCCGTGTAATTAACGTCCTATTGAAGGTAACTTTTTTTTGTTGAATACAAGGTCTTGTTGCGTTCCAAATAATTGTGTAGCTTAGCTTTCCCTTGTTAGCTTTTCTTGATGAATGCTAATCTACTAAGGATTCGGCATTGTTGGTAGTTGTTACTAATGTTTTGACTCGTGTATGTTCTCAGGCTGAACCAGATACTGATGAGGTGTACGCACAAGTGACTTTGATGCCAGAACCAAATGTAAGTTTACAATGTGCCAAGGAAGAATCACTTGTTATTTCCTTTTTTTCTTTTTGAAGTTCCTACATCATTTTGAGACTTTAAATTCTGATGTTCGAGTTGGACATCTAATTTAATGGAATATTCTTTGTAGCAAGACGAAAGTGCAGTTACGAAGGAACCGATGCCCCCTTCGTCACCACGATTCCATGTGCACTCTTTTTGCAAGACACTAACTGCCTCCGATACCAGCACTCATGGAGGCTTTTCTGTCTTGAGACGGCATGCTGATGAATGCCTCCCTCCTTTGGTTAGAAGAATTGTTTCTTAATACAGTTAATGTGCCTGTATTTGGATAATGTGAGCGGCTTATGCTGGTTAATTTTTGTTAAAGGATATGTCTCGGCAACCTCCAACACAGGAGTTGGTGGCCAAAGATTTGCATGCAAATGAGTGGCGCTTCAGGCACATATTTCGGGGTATGATGCTCAATGCATTCTTAATCACCTTGTGCCTTTATATTTTGTTAAATATACTACCTTCAGTTCCTTTTGAGTCAATCTTTGCAGACATAAAGTTGCACCATCACAACATTGCTAGATTATAGCCTATTTAATTTGTATCTTCATGTCTTCGTTATAAAATTTGTTTGTTCATATATCATGCCTATTACAAAGTTGGAATACTGTGAGTCAGTGACAATAAATCTTGACTCCAAAAACCTTGAAATTTTTTGAGCTGATGATAGTTTGGCATTAATCTGGACAAGAAAAGGGATGTGGAGGGGCATCCCTTGTGTTTTAGTAATAAGCCAATTACATGTCATATTGTATTTGGTCTTTATATAAATAACTCAAGGAAACAACACAATGTTATGACTTCTCAATGAGATAGATTCAGGATGAGGAACAGACACTTGGATTTCTTGCTGGAGAAGGGATGGTAAAGAAAAATTTGCTAGTGTGATTCAGAGACTTGTATTTTTTTTTTTTTTTTTGGCTTGTGTGATTGAGGGTGTTTTATTGATCTTTTCACCCCCTTCCGTTTAACTTTTTTTTTTTGTTGCATGGGGAATTTGCTTTTGAGAGTGTTAAGCACTATTGCTGATGTAACGGGTGCTATTTCAACGCATTAGTTGGTTGTTCCTGTTACATTTCCACTTTTTGTTTTCATGCTATCAGTCAAATTTCAGGCCAGCCTAGGAGACACCTTCTTCAGAGTGGTTGGAGTGTCTTTGTAAGTTCAAAAAGGCTTGTTGCCGGGGATGCATTCATATTTCTTAGGTTGGCATTGGCATACCTTCTCTTTTCTCCATTCTCTTGCGTTCATTAACTTATGAAATGTTGGATAATATTTTGTTAGAGGTGAGAACGGGGAGCTTCGTGTTGGAGTCAGACGTGCCATGAGACAGCAGGTTAATGCTCCATCATCAGTGATATCCAGTCATAGCATGCATCTCGGTGTCCTTGCTACGGCTTGGCATGCAATTCAGACAAAAACGATGTTCACAGTATATTACAAACCAAGGTAACTGATCCGAAGTACCAGGGGAAAATTAGTTTAAGCTTGTTCCTTAAATTGAAATCTATTTGATGAAAGAATTGGACTTTCATTTTGTATTATAGGACGAGCCCTGCTGATTTTATAGTTCCATATGACCAGTATATGGAGTCTGCGAAAAACAATTACTCCATCGGGATGAGGTTTAAAATGAGGTTTGAAGGTGAAGAAGCTCCAGAACAGAGGTATGTTAGCATCACTAGAAGGAGCATTTTCTTTCTTTAGTATTAAATGTGATGCTAGGTGGTTTGACTTTGATATTAATCGAGCATGCTTGTGTTGTGAGCTTTCAGATCAAAATCATACTATTTTGGTGATGGTTTATGTTAAACAAATTACCTTTCTCAAAACCCCTGATTTTGTAGTTTACTCCAAAATCCAAAATCTTATAGGTTTACTGGCACTATAGTTGGCATTGAAGATGGTGACCCCAAAAGGTGGTCTGAATCCAAATGGAGATGCCTGAAGGTAGAATCTACTTTCACTTTTTTCCTGGTTGGTTATCTTTTTCCCATATATAACACTGAAGTATCATTCTTGAATGCGTTTTTAAGGTTCGATGGGATGAAAGTTGTGCTATTCCTAGGCCAGACCAAGTTTCACCCTGGAAAATAGAGCCAGCTCTTAGCCCTCCTGCCCTTAATCCACTTCCAATACCAAGGCCAAAAAGGCCTCGATCAAATGTTCTGCCCTCGTCTCCTGATTCTTCTGTTCTTACTAGGGAAGGTATATAACTCACCCTTATATTTGAATTTTATATCCTGCACTGCCTTTATATCTACATTTCAAGAGTCTGTTATGTACTTCTGGCACTTTCACTTTCTTAAAGGTTCATCCAAAATAACTGCAGACCCTTCACAAGCCAATGGGTTTTCAAGGGTCTTACAAGGTCAAGAAATGTCGACCTTGAAAGGCAATTTCGTAGAAAATAATGGGTCAGATGCTTCTGAGAAGCCAATTGTATGGCCACCGTCACTGGATGATGCTAGGACTGATGTTCATTCTGCATCAAGGAGATGTCTGCCAGATAAATGGCTTCCTTTAGGAAGGCCTGAATCATCTTTTACAGATCTATTATCAGGTTTTGGGGTGCAAGTGAGTTCCTCCCACAGGCTCCATTTACCCACTGGGGGGAAAACATCACTTCCTGCTAGCTTGGTGAAGCGACAAGCACTGGACAAGGAAAATGAATTCAGCTTACTGGGAAAACAATGGTCTCTAGCGCCTTCTGGTCTCTCACTTAAGCTGATGGATTCAGGATTGAAGGGGGCTGATAGTCTTTATCAAATGCGGGAAACATCGAGGTGTAGTGGTTTTAATGAGTATCCAACCCTCCCTGGTCATAGAATTGACAATCAACAGGGAAATTGGTTAATGCCCCAGTCTGTGTTGCCTTATATTCCGATGTCCACTCATTCTGGAGAAATGATGCCTAAACCCATGGCTTCACTACAACCCGAAGCCGTGAAACCCAAAGAGGGGAATTGCAAACTATTTGGCATTCCCCTTGTAAGTACCTCTGCTTCCATAGATCCTATCAAGTTGCGAAATAATTCACCGATTGACTCGGCAAGTAACATGGATTTTGGTGTACATCTACATCAATTCTCTGCAACTGAATCTGATCCATGGTCTGAGCAATCAAAGGGATCAAAGGTACTAGATGATGGTATCACAGTTAACGATCAGGAGAAACAATGCCAAACCTCTCATCTGGGTACTCGGGATAGAGAGGGCAAAGGCCTCACTAATTCAACAAGGAGCTGCACCAAGGTTTACACCTAGTTAGTTGTCTTAACTTCGGCTTGTGACATTTTGTGAAGCGTTAATAATTTGGGTTATTATAAATGCAGGTTCATAAACATGGTACAGCCCTTGGAAGGTCTGTGGATCTTGCAAAGTTCAACAACTATGAAGAATTGATAGCTGAACTGGATCACCTTTTTTATTTTAATGGTGAGCTCAAGGCTCAGAACAAGAACTGGCTGGTTGTATATACTGATGATGAGGGTGACATGATGCTTGTTGGAGATGATCCATGGCAGTAAGTCCTTTCGTCTTTTCTTGTGATGCGTAAAGGATGAAAGATGATTATCTTTATGGTGCTTCTTAGGTTCTGCAGTTATCTGGATTCTTATGCTGCTTTTTAACCTGTTGGTCTTGGTGAAACAGAGAATTTTGTGGTATGGTTTGCAAGATTTTCATCTACACGAAAGAAGAGGTGCAGCGGATGAACCCAGGGACTCTCAATTCAAAAGGTGAGGACAATTCTTCTGTTGCAGAAGGCTCTGATGCTAAAGAAGTGAAGGATCTGCATCTTCCTTCTGAGTCCAGTCCTGAAGATTCTTAGCATGTCCTCCTAGTTGAGGTATTGAAAAGTAAGATGCAAAAGAAAAATAAAAGGAAAAGAAAATCTCCATTGGCTCTTTATTTGCTGCCGCTTTATTATTACTATTATTTTTCGCCCTGGGTATGTGGGGTGACAGTTGCTTTTCTGCAGTTTCTAGTAACTTGACAACTTTTGATGTAATTTGACAGGTTTATAGTATCTGCAGAAAAGACTACATCCACTCAGCTGTTGCTTTTTTGGGGATTTCTGAAGGTAGTTACCTGCCATATTAAGTCTCTTTTAACTTCTGGATGGCTGGTCTCTCCATATAGATGCAGCTTCTGTATTTTGCAGTTTCGACCCTTTTTTGGAGCCAATTTATGGTGACTTATCTATACACAGTATACACATTATCAGCCTGGTCACAGTCTGGCTTTTGCTTATTTTGATATGTACATACCTAGTTTTTAACAATTATCCTGGCAACTCTAAATGTAAATAAGAAGTTGATACACAGCATACCTTGTCTACTGTTAATTTATGTACTACTGGTATCCAGCTGCTTCTAGTACCCTACATATTTTGTATCAGCAGTTGTGGTCGTCCGGCTGGACATGTATTGGTAATCATTCAAATTTTGATCATAGGAGTTGAAGAAAAATCTTACTATTTGGTTATTAGAAACAATTCTTACTGATCAAGTTACTGCTGTCTCTTTCGTTTAACCCCTTGTTGACACCCGTATGTTTGCTAGCTCCTTTTGCAAACATCAGGGAGCCATAATAGGCATTGTCAATGTATTCAAATAGGGGTAAACTCCCAAATGCTTGGACCGACCGTCTTCGGTGGGTCGATTTGGTGCATTTGTTACCAGAGTACTGGACGCCCGGAGCTTGCCCTGACAAAACAGAATTGGCTCTGTTGATCGACATGGGTGCAGAACTCAGTTCATTAATGCGGGCATTTGGAGACCTTGGTGCTAGTTAGCTGGATTGATACCATAAGATGTTGATAAGTTATCGCTGCTCCCATTCATATTTCATGGATCTTGTACCCAGCCACTGTTCTTTCAGAATCAGATGGTGATTCATTTGAAACTTCATCTCGCGCTGCACATAGGCATTGCTGAATGACTATTGATAAGTTGATTTTTTCTGCCACTAAACAAGCATCATAGTTTATGGATCTTGTGCCAGCCACCTCATCAGTCCTTGGATCTTGTTTCCAGTTTCCAGCTACAGTTCTTTCAGTATCTGATGTGATTCCCTGTAACTTCACATCTCGGACAACAGATAGATGTTGCTGAATTCGTGATAAAAGAATGTTACTGATTTAGTGTTGCTAAGTTATTTCTGCCATGGGACAAGCCTCATGCTGCATCTCCAACTTTGAGCAATATATCATGTTAACCTTTGGTTTTAATTTTTTTAGCCTTTTGTACTGCTTCTATAATGAATAAATGAAAAAATCATAGCTTCGCTTTCCCTGGACTTTTTATGGTATTAAGATTTTAGTGACCTATACGAAGCATGCCTCGAACCCTCTACACAAGAGTGCCCTTGGTAACATCTTCGTCACCACCACTTGCACAAAATTTCTCAGAGTCAATCGACTGTACATCACAAGTGTTGTAAATGCATAAGAACTTGTTATTTTTGAAGAAAGATAGCCAATTACGTGGCACAGGGGTTTTGAAAGGACCCGTTCAACCATTTATTACATACAAAACTAGCAGGACTGAGAAATACATTCATAAGCAACCTTACCAGAATCTTTGTTATATCAGCCCTTGGGTCATTGTGACCTGAGCCAAAATATAATGAGGAGAGATAAAGAAGCAAGAAAATCACAGGATCACAAATGAGGACAGCAAGACCAAAGCTGAGGACAACGTTAACTGCCACCCATAATAATCAGAATGTTTTTGGTAAGGAGTGTCTTGCTAATACAACACTTTCTTGTGAAGAACTACAGTCTTGATCCAATTAATCCAACATCGTATATTTTTGTAAAATCCTTGAAGTTCAACATAGAAAGGATGCTGCCTTCTCAACGTGGCAAGGATTTTACCCAGAAGCCCCAAAGATAAACCCACAAATTGCTTCATATGCCCAGGGAAGCTTAGTGGCCAACAGAAATGAACTCTAAAACATGATCACTTGATCTACACAGGGATAGGCTCCGGAGCGGGGTCTGAGGGAGTACCACTACTGCCATTGAGGACAGTCACATTGCCGTCTGAATCCACGTCCACAATAACCGAATCACCTTCTTTGATCTCACCTGCAAGCATTTTCTCCGCCATGCTGTCCTCTAGCAGTCTCATGATAGCTCTTCTCAGAGGCCGTGCTCCGTAGCTTGGGTTGTATCCTTCGTCAACCACCCTATCTCTAAACCTCTCTGTCACTTGAAGTTCTATCTCCTTACCCTTTAACCTCTCAAATACCTCCTTAAGCATGATATCAGCTATCTCCTTAACCTCTAACTTTGTGAGCTGACGGAATACAATCATCTCATCCAATCTGTTCAAAAACTCTGGCCTGAAGTACTGTTTCAATTCTTCAGTCACTAAGCTCTTGATACGATTGTAACTGCTATCCTTCTCATCATAATCGAGATCAAAACCTATACGACGGCCGCCTTTCTCTATCACACTACTTCCAACATTTGATGTCATGATGAGAAGTGTGTTCTTGAAATCGACAGTTCTCCCCTTGCTGTCTGTCAACCTTCCATCTTCAAGAATTTGAAGCATCATGTTGAAGACATCGGGATGAGCCTTCTCGATTTCATCAAAGAGCACAACAGTATAAGGTCTTCGCCTTACGGCTTCAGTCAATTGACCACCTTCTGTGTAACCAACATAACCAGGGGGTGATCCGATGAGCTTAGAGACTGTGTGTCTCTCCATAAACTCACTCATATCAAGCCGGATCATTGCTTCCTCAGAACCAAAGTAATATGCAGCCAGTGACTTTGCCAGTTCTGACTTCCCAACACCAGTTGGACCAGAAAAGATGAAACTAGCAATAGGCCGGTTGGGATTCTTGAGCCCAACCCGAGCACGTCGAATGGCACGACTAATGGCTTTGACAGCTTCATCCTGGCCAATGATTCGAGTATGAAGAGTTTCTTCCATTTTTAGGAGGCGATCAGATTCGTCAGTCGACACCTTCTCAACAGGGATGCCAGTCCAAGAAGAGACAATGTGCTGAATATCTGCTTCAGTCACAAGCGGACCTGTATCTCCAGCCTCACTTTCAGCCTTGCTCATCTCTTTGTTTTTGTCTATGAGGGCCGTGATCTGTGCCTTAAGATCCATTTCTCTATCACGTAATTCCCCAGCCTGTCCATTAATTCAAATCCATCTAATTAGGATTTTCTACAATTAGAATACTTGATAAGAAAATAGTTCAACTCTATTGATAAGAAAGCAGGCATTTTAAAGGGATTAATTAGATGTACATATAAAAGACTCGGTACCTTTTCGAAATCTTGACCTCGGACAGCTTCATTCTTCTCCTTTGTGATTTGACGAAGCTCTTTCTCAAGCTCTTTTGCTTCCTCAGGGAGCTGGAAGGCAACAACAAAGCATTGTCACTCTACAAATAATAGGCAATGACAGATTATAATAGAGATTAAGGGAGCATTCTGTACCTGTGCATGGCGAAGTCGAACACGAGAACCAGCTTCATCAATCAAGTCAATTGCTTTATCAGGCAGAAAACGGTCACTGAAATCCAAAGATGCAAGTGAAAAGATGTATCGTGTTGCAGAATGAGGAAAAGACAAAAACATACAGTAAAATCAATATCACGGAATCAATGACAAGTTTTTTTCTGGACAGAAATAAGCATAGAACGTAATTAGATGCTAGTAAACCAAAAGAAAATCAAAAAGGAAAAATACCAACCTTTATTATCACATTTTACTATCATAAACTAAGTTGAACTTTATGTGTACAAACAAACTCGGTAAGCAAAACACATTTCTTCAAGGTAGCAATGCATCGACAACCCAAAGCGAGAAAAGTACAAAGGATATATATTAGATACCTGATGTACTGGTATGAGAGCTGGGCAGCAGCCTCTAATGCCTCGTCAGTGTAACGAAGCTTGTGATGAATCTCATATCTCTCACGAAGCCCTTTCAGAATCTGAATGGTTTCATCAACAGTAGGTTCAGGGACCTTAACTGGCTGGAATCGCCTCTCCAATGCAGGATCTTTCTCAATATGCTTTCTGTATTCATCTAGTGTGGTAGCTCCAATACACTGACAAGAAGCCAAATAAATACTATTGAGTTGGTGCTTGGAGATACAAAAAAAAAATCTCCTGTTAGTTCACATATTGAGTAGTTAAATAAATATTTGACCTTCTTATGGGGTTGTGCCAGGAAAAATGCATGTTAACACAATGATATGTCATCTAGAGCATTAGATTGTCCTTAAGAGATATTCATAATTCTCGTTTTTAATTTCCAGAAAGGACAGAAAGAGAAGAACAAGACAACCAGGATAACTAACCTGTAGTTCACCTCGAGCTAGGGCAGGTTTCAAGATGTTTGCAGCATCGATGGCCCCCTCTGCTGCTCCAGCTCCGATCAAGGTGTGCACTTCATCGATAAATAGTATTATTTCATCACTCTGTTTGATTTCCTCCATCAGCTTCTTTAGCCTTTCCTCAAACTCTCCACGGTATTTTGTCCCAGCAACAAGCAAACCCATATCAAGAGTTATCACCTAATCATTACCAAAAAGTGACTCTTAAGGACACGTAGAAAAGTAGCTTCATCATGCATGAAATATCCAGCCTAATTCCAGATAGATGAGATTTGCACAAATAGGTTTGAACCTTATTACTTGAGCTCACTTTAGCTTGAGCTAAGAATTAAGTTCAACAGGGATGCTAAAATCGTTTTTGTTCAATTAGTTAGAAACATAGATCCATAAATCAATCTACTAAAAAGAAATAAGCCAAGAGAGCATCACATAAAAATATATATCTAAATTTCAAGAAAACATGAAGATACTAGGAAAATGATTTTGAAATCTTTCAATTTAGGGAGACAGCATGTATATTCATTTGAAACTAATGCTTGTGAATAAAAAAGCAGACTAGACTGGACCAGCACGACAGTAGCTCAGCTTCTGGATCCACCATACTATACGACAACTGGTAGAACAAAGGACACAGGTAAACGTCACATTCTGCATGTTATCACAGTATCACACATGCGTACCTTCTTCCCCTCAATTGTTTCAGGGACATCACCGTTTGCAATTCTTTGTGCCAGACCCTCAGCAATAGCTGTTTTGCCAACACCTGGTTCTCCAATAAGACAAGGGTTGTTCTTAGTCCGCCGACCCAAGATTTGAGTGACCCGTTCAATTTGCGGTTGTCTTCCAACAACAGGATCTAATTTTCCCTAAAAAATAGCAAACTCAAATGATTGAAAAGTGTCCACTCATATTATAAATATACTTTTGAAGTTACCTCTTCAGCTAACTTTGTCAAATTTGTTCCGTACTCCTCCAGTGTAGGCATTTTTTGGCCAGAACTTCCACCTCCAACGCTAGCACCAACAGCCTCGTTACTCTCTCCAACCATTCGGATCACCTATTTTCAGAAAAAAGAACCAATAAGCTCTGATTACAATGAAGTCAAGAAATCAAACTGCA